TTTGCCTTTTAATGGCGAAATTATATTTAGCAATTGTTCGAAGCGTCATGCGAAAAATTTGCAGGGAAAATAAAACGAAAATTTTGCCGGGAAATTGTTTACTTTAAAAATGTTTAGATTATTAATATATTATATACAATTGACATATGTAATGTGAGTTAGCCACACAGCCATTTCCTCGATTACTCCGTGACTTTTTCAAAATTTCACCCGATTTCGCTGATTATTATTTTCAAAATTCAAGCCAATTTCACTCATTATAATTATCAAAATTCAACCCAATTTCACTCATTATTCACTGATTTTTTTGCAGAAAACTGAACACAGGTACTCTACCGATTATTATCAATTTAAATATTTATTAAATGATTAAAATAATATGAACGTATCATTATTAACGTAAGTTTATTAAAAATTATTATTATTAACATCAAAAATAGAATATATTGCCACAAAACAAAATTTTTTTACTTTAATTATAATGAACTCAGTTTACTTTTTAAACTATTGGCTAATGATCAATACAGTAAATTTCAAATCATTAAAATTTACCAAATTAAAACCATATTTCAACAGTAGGTTCAACCAAATTTAAACAAAAGCTAGACACTAAAAGAAAAAAAAGAAAAAAGAAAGAAAATATTAAAAAACATATTTTGTTATTTATACATGTAAAAGTTTACTTATTCATATAACTATATTATTTATATAATTAAATATTAATTGATATACAAAAAATGTTGTTAAAAATCTTGAAATATAAAAATATTTCTTGGTTTTTAACAATATGACATGAAAAAAAGGCTTTTAAAGAAAATCAACAGAAATAATGCTAAACCTTAACTAGACAATATTGGACTCCTACTTATATTAGGAATAATACAATGTAATAAGACTCATACCCCAGGTTCCATTGAGTCTAAAGTAAAGAAGAAATTTAATTTATTTTAAAAAACTAATAATAAAAATACTGACAGATCCTCTCAAACGCTTCATCTAAACTTTGAAAAAAACTTTATTAAAATAAAGACCTGAAATATTTCTAAAAAAAAGCCAAACTAAAAAAACCAATAAACTAAAAGTGATACTAGTGACAAACAATTGTTGTTATCAACTATTTTTCTCTAAGCAGTCTCACTAAAAAGTTAAACTTTTAACACTAACTTCAAATCAACCTTTTTTTAATAAGTTTAAAATATTTACAATCTTCATTTAAAAGAATTATTAATAACTGTTTGTCCCTCTTAAAATTATTTTGATTTTGAGCTTATTCTCTTCTTGTCACCATAAATCTGAAATGTGATTGGACTATTGAAAGGTCCAAACCAGTGATTCTAATATTTGTTAGGGTTTTCGGGCCTCAAGTGTTTGGTTTGATATTTGTAAAAAATAGACAAATCCCATTGGTTCGATAGGAATATTGTAAAATAAATCGTCTAAAGGTGCATATTCTTCAATTATATCTTGTTTCTCCTTTTCCTTTTCTAAAATTTTTATACTAGATGCAATTCTTCTTTTTTCTGTCGAAATTCCAATTCTGCCGGTAAATTTTGTTTTCAAAATTTTTGGTTTAGATAATTTATCTGAAATAGCACATACACACCTCTTTTTCTTAGTAACTTCATTCTATTCTAATGTTGTCATGTTTAGAGACGTTTGAAGCTCATTTTTAGTATCAGCATTTAGTATCTCGTATCTTGAAGTTGAAATTTTAATGATTTAACCACATTCTAACTTAAGTAACTTAATGTTTTTATTTGAGAAAGGATATCTCTACATGATGATGCATTTGTTTGCTTAGAGTATATTTTATTCTGCACATTTTCCAAATTAACATGACCTTGTGTCTCAGATAAGTTGTCTTCAAAACATTTATTCTTATTCAAAACATATATTCTTAACATATATATAACATATATTCTATACATAGATTCTTCTTCATGACAAGATTCATTACCATAAATGACTGAATTATCCAAACAAAAGTATGGAGATATTTGGTAACTATCTGGCAATAAATCCCAACTAACTCCATCGCAATGTTGAAAGATTGCTACCATATGTTTGCATGGCATCAATGTTTTCTTCCATTCAATGCATTGGCAATCAGGGAACTTAGTGTCCTGACCTCCAATATTGACAATATAACTTTTTGCACTTGTGAAGCTTTTTACCTCATACATTTGCTTATTCTTAGAATTTTCATGGAATGTAATTTTTAGGTTGTTACAGTCCTTCACAATACTAATCTTTTCTATACAATGTCTTGTAAAATTCTCAGGTTTATTACAAAGCCATTTTGGAAGGTTGCTATTGTAGAGTCTGTAGTCTGAGCAGCGACGAATATTAGCTTCCACGTACCTTAAAGAATGAATAATAATAAGTTATTTGCTAATATTATTCTCAAGACAATAATTATTAAAATTGATAAAAACTTTATTAAGAATAAAAAGGTCTATTAAAAAACTGCATATACATAGAAACTAATAAAATCCCTTTTTATTATTCTAATAAATTTGACAATATATGTCTATATTATCAATTAACAACTTCTGAATGTTTGCATTGTCATTTCAGTATAATGAAAAAATTGCTTTTGTCAAAAGTTTACCTGCTGTATGTCTCAGGAATAAATTGATCAACAAGAACTGTCACCATTCTACTTAACGAGTTATCCTTATACTGATTTAAAAACTCATGTTTGAAATCTCTGTTCTTTCGCTCAACACCGTTGTTTGTATTTACAACTGTCTCTAATATTCCACTTCTGAATGCTTACGCCATATTACGAATATTACGAATATTACTGAATATTACGTCAATTCATACACATAATAGGATACATAATAGGATAATAAATGGTTATATTGCATAAAACTTGTAAGCAACAAGATCCTACCTTTTTCTCAGGCAACCATGCTATTTGTAGAGATCCATATTGGATCCTAGTGTAGAGCTTGTATAGCAATGTCATATTCTTCCTGTGTTTCAGAAGCAGCTATTCGTCTAAGTAAACAAAGAGCAGTTTGCTTGACTGATCTCATTCCATTTGCATTAGCAGACAACCATCTTTACCACGCTTGCTCACGGTGAAAATCACAGAGAATAACAAAGCAATCTTAAAAACAATCATTACGCTCAAATATAAATTTATTTCATATGTAACTTATGTCTTTAATTTAAAGGAAATTAGGCACCAATAATCCTAAAATCCAGGGTACTTTAAGGTTAATTATATTTTTTTACAATTTCTTAACTCTAAAATAGCTCTAACACCAATGAACCCATTTTTTTCACTACATTTATTATTCTGCAAATCTATATCCCACAATATATGTACTACATCAGCTTTTATGACATCCGCTTGAATAACTAATAAAGGCACTAGAGGGTTTGGTGAACGACATTCACCAACTATTGACATTACATTTTTTTGACATAATCAATTAATTAAAAATTATTTCTATTATCATATATATACTTAGCATAGACAAATCTTTGCTATTTTTATGGGATTACACCCCTAATGTAATTTGGTATATTAGAGGTGTAAACTCTTTTCTATTATAAGGGGTGTACCCTCATTTTTATAATAATATAAATAACAATGAATATATAAATAATAAACTAAACTAAGAAACAAATTAAAAAAATCTATACCCTTTACGCTAAAATTTCTATCTTTTTTAAACGTTGAAAATTTTGAGGATGTTTGTATCTCATATTTAATATTTGAATCTTCTGCATTTTGTAGAGTGCCAAACACAGAAAATGTGGTATTAATCACTTCATTGCCTTAAAATAAATAAAATAATAAATTCTAATTATAAATACAAAAAGTAAAAATAAATACAATAACAAACTTAATATTAATAATAATATATAATTAATTTAATAACCGAAAAGTAAATAAAGAAATTTAAAAAAATAAAAAGATTTACCTATTTCTTCCACGGTTGCCATTTTCTAAAAAACTTGGAAGAATTGGCCAATTGGCTACAAAAAAATTTGGTAAAAGAGTATCAATTTAAATAAGGTTTGATTAGAGTTTGTTTACTGAAAAGTACACAGTAAATAAGTAATTTGGAGTAGAAGACTGAATAAATTAAACCTTTAACTTTAGAAAATTTTAAAAAATATTTTATTTAATATTTAAATGTTAATGGCTATATAACCGTCTCAGTCAAACATACATATGGAAGTTTGAATAAATTTAACTGTAACTTTAGGAAGGAAGAATAAATTTAACTGTAACTTTAAAACATGTAAAATGTTACATGTTGTTAACAGTGTGAAGTTTAAAGTTATTTATTATGTATAAACATCTCAGTCAAACATCTTAATGAATTTAAAGATTTTTAACTTAATTTAAGTTAAAAAATTTTTAATGTTGACTATAAATAAAATATTTTTACGTCGTGGTGACTAACTTTCCATTCTATTCCTTATGATTATATAAAAAGTATTTTTAAACAAGTATTTTTTTCCTGCCATTTTTTGCCAACAATTTTTGCCAACATTTTTTTCCTCTGGGGGAGAACCGCATAGACACGCAGGAGGCACAACTGCGTACTTATGATATTTATCAAAGTTAGGTAATTACGAATAACAATAATTACAATCTTCACTCTTGAATGTGTTCATGTAAAAACTTGAATAGAACTAAGAGTATATTGAATGAGAAAACACAGACTGTAAGTACAAAAAACAATTTCTAAATTTTAAAAATATCAAAAAATATCAAAATAACAAAGTATCTTCATAACATTCTTTTGTTGAGTCTTATGCACATATAAATACAATTTTTTATAAACTTTATTAAATAATTGCTTCTATTCAAACACAAGTTTTACTCAACTTAAACGCCAAAAAATCTTTAAAGCTTTATCCATCTAGTCGGCGTGACGTCACGCCAAATTGCGAAATAAGTTAACCATCTTGAATGGAGGGAAAACAAACATATAAATATCAACAGCGTTTTAAACTTTTATGACAAAAAGATGCCAAGGAGTTGTTGTTTTGTAGGTTTCACAAACAATTGTAAAAAAAATAATGAATTCAAATTTTATCGTATTCCTAAGAATGAAGCGGTCAGAAGAAAATGGTTAAATGCAATTAATCGTGCTGCAGATAGCACTTCGTCAAAACAGTGGTCTCCTACGTCTTCGAATGTTTATGTTTGCTCAGCACACTTTATTATTGGTAAACAACTTTTATTATAATTTGATTGTATATACTAAATAAATTAAAACAAATACTACTTGTTTAAAAATTTCAGGTAAAAGAGAGCTCTTTGAGAAACATCCAAGTTCAGTTCCATCAATTTTTGATACTGGAATGAAAGGTTCTCCTCAAAGAAATACCAACAATCACAAAATCAACCGAGTCAGTAGGAAGATAAATAGACAAAGTAAATATTATCGTTTGCTTCAATTCATTTGTAAATAATTACTTTGATGTTGTTTAATTTTAAATTTTTTTTTTAGAAATAAGTGTTCCTGCATGCAAAAAATTAAAACTATGTGCTCAATCAATTAGTGAGGATGTTGATTTTGTCATTGAAAAACGGAGTTTTAGTAACAAAGGTAAGTTTGAAAAAATAATTATTAAATTTAGGTATTTACAACGTAAATTTGTATAATTTTTTTATAATTAATAACGATCATGTAGATCTTGTAAATGTTATGAAACTGCTCCAGTAAATTTTTATAAAATAAATGTATTTCATACTCAACAGAAATCGATATCCAAGTTAGTACTGAAGATTATTTGCAGCAATCTGATATCAGTAATCCTATATGCTCTAAAAATTTTTTAGAACAATCTTCCAGTCATGGTATTGAATAACTTTTTATTTTAGTTTTTTACACTTTTGCATAGTTTTAGATTTTTGTTTTTAACAATTTTTCAGAAATTAATAATTCTATACTTACTAGAGCTATTATAGAACGTTGACCATCATAAATTTAATTATAAAAATAAAATGGCTATACAAATATAAGTTTAAAATATGTTTTCTCTAAAAAAATTTGTGCGAACTAAGTTTTTTTTAGCACTAAGGTCTTCAATTACTTCTAACTTAACTTCTATTTGTATTTTTTGTTTTTGTAATTTTGTTTATTTTTTGTTTATTATCTTTTTTTGTAGAAGTTGAAAAATAATTTAATAATATATTTCAGAATTTAGTGTTCCTATAATTACTGAAGATGTTTATGTTCAAGATTCCAGTAAGAGTTATATACAAGGTATTAATTTAAAAGTTATTTAAACATCATATGCAAATTTAAAATTTAACATCAATGTTCAGCAAAGTTCAACCAATAGTTCTTTAAAGTCAGAATAGAGTTATACTGAAAAATCTGAAATTGATATTGAAATACCTCTTAAAACATCAGAAAGACAACAACTATATAGTGAAATAAATAATCTTCGATTAGAAAGAGATTTATTTATGTCGAAGTGGATATCATTAAAAGATAGCAATTGCAGTTTAGGAATAAATAAAATTCGAGCCAATCCTGATAAGTGCAATATGCTCACTGGACTTAATCTTCCTGTTTTAGAAAAACTGTTGAGTTTCCTATGCAAAGGAACTCCAGAAAGTTCATTAAAAAGATTTAATACAGAAGATAAAATTGTTTTCTGTTTAGTTAAATTAAGGCGCCACATTAACTTTGATATGTTATCATTTATGTTTGATATTAAAAAAACTACTGCCTTGGATAACTTTTGGAAATGGATTGATATTATGTATGTGAAATTAAAATATTTAATAAAAATGCAAGATCTAGATTATATATACGAAACATTTCCTCCTGTTTTTAAACACAAATTCCCAAGACTAACATCAATTATTGATTGTTTTGAGGTTTTTGTGGAATCTCCATCATCTCTAATGGCAAGAGCACTATTTTACAGCCAATATAAAAAACATTGTACAATAAAATGTCTCATTTCATGCACACCTAACGGAACGATTAACTTTATTTCCAAATGCTATGGTGGAAGAGCTTCTGACAATCAAATAACTCGGGAATCAGAATTTGCATCTAGCAAGTACCATATGCCAGGCGATCAAATCTTATTAGATAGAGGTTTTACTTTACAAGACGATTTTGCAGCTGGAAGTTGCTCTATATTAATAAATCCAGCTTTTACAAAGGATAAAGCACAACTTTCTGCTTCGGAGGTAGAAAAATCTCGCAAAATATCATCTGTTAGAATTCACATAGAAAGAGTTATTGGGCTGTTGAAAAATCGTTACACCATTGTTCAAGGTGTATTGCCTTTACAAACTGTTAAAAACATTACTGATGAAGCTACCTCAGTTACTCTTTCTAATTGTGACAAAATGTAACAGTTTGTGCTGCTTTAACAAACCTTGGTGAAGGAACCGTTTAAATTTTCTCAAAACGGCTATTTTCATAGCCACATATCTTAATAAAAGCATTACTTGACAAAAAGGACCTCAAAAGGTGGTACAAGAGTTGTACTCGTGGATTTTCTTTTTCCGGAAATTTTGGAATTTCGGATATTATTATTAACTTTAAGTTTCCCAAGATATCCTAAAATTTTCTAGAATTTAAAGTTGAGGTATATATTTTGGAAATATATTTATTTTCAAGCTTTTTTACTTATCGCTCATACTGTATTAGCGATAAGTGAAAAAGCATAAAAATAAATATATTTCCAAAATATATACCTCAGCTTTAATTTCTGGAAAATTTTAGGATATCTGGGGAAACTTAAAGTTAATGATTTTTGTATGCCATACTAAAATTAAAATGGAAATCAACTCAGGTAATAGCAAAATAAAGTGGAAAATATAATCCAGATTATACCGGATATCTTACCTAATTTTTAAAATATGACCCGGATGATCAATGTATAATCAGGGATTATCTTTTTCTGGATATTTTATTTAGTTTTTTCGGATATTCAAAAGGTTTTCTATACATACAAGTTTATATATATGTTTGGATAATATATTTAATTTTTAGCGACTTTTTAGTCATCACTCGTTCAAAAATGAAAATTTCAAAAAAGTTAAGATACAATTTAGCTGAAAGCAAATTATGAGGAAAATAAGAGAAAAAATATTCCGCATTTTTTGCAGATATTTTACGCAAAGAATTTTCCTTTTTTTTTTTTAAATATTACCTGGATGATCTATGTATATCGTCCCTGGGGCCCCGGAAAAAGGAGAAGCCTTTCTGCATTATATGGTACATGTTTTCAGACCACAAATACATTTGGGATCTACTTTTGCTGTTAAAAGCCCTGTAAATAAGGATATTCACTATTCAATACGAAACGTATATGGTATGGAATACAATACGATACGGAAAATGATATTAGTCCAATCTTTAAAGTTATTTAGGTGTGTTGAAAAAGTTTAATAGAATATTTATAAACCTAATAAATGTGCGAAATACGGATTAGAATATTTATTAGGTTTGAAAAAAACGAGCCAAAACTTTATGAAGTTACAACATAAAAATATAAATGAATAAAATATCGACCGGCGTCTGAATTAAATATGAAAATACATTTCGATACCGCTTTGTCAAAAATGTAATAACTTGTTAATACGATTTTTTAGTAAAATAATTTGTTACTAGAATTTTATTTCCTAAATTTGATTTTGAGTAAATTTGCGTAAAAAAATATCGTTGGAATCTATTCAATAGAAACATTGTTATCATTAGTATTTTGAGAGTTCAATTTACGCATCAGACTTTTTCTATAACATTAATAAAAAAGATTTTGTTTATTTAGGTGCTCCAAGGAGTGCTAAGGGTCTTTTTATAGAGCACCGCGAAACAGTATTTATTTCACACTTCCTTCATTACTAATCTTGCATACATGAGCCGTCATCGAACAACGATAAATTACAGTGATTATCCAAGTCATATTTAAAAAATCCGGTACACAGTTGTGTATAAACAGTTGTATATTCGGAAAAAATCCGTTATATATTTACTCTTACTTTCCTATTTCTTTTTTATATTGTTGCATGAATGAAAAACCAAATAAAGTATATATAAATTACAAAAATACAAACAAATAATATGTAGGTCAGACAGTTTGGATATCCGGAAAAACATAAAATTTAGAAAAATATTCGGAAAAAGAGTACCCCTTGGTTTAAAACAATATTATAACATAAAATACGACAAAATGTTTTCCCCCGAGGAATAAGGTAAAATATTTTTTTCCAAAAAAGAAACCGATTAACTTAAGGAAAAATACCGCCTTACTTCTTTTTTATTTAGACCAGGTAATCAAACTCTTCCTATTCACCGAGATTTCGGGGAAGAGGAAAAGTTTGATTATTTGTTAATCTGTAACAGTTTTTTCAATATTATATCATATACTTTAATGTTTTTAATAATATGTGGCTATGAAAATAGCCGTTTTTTAAAAATGGGATATTCTTTATTTCACCTCAAATTATGATTTTTCCATTCCATTTCTCAGCATAATAATGTTAACAACAAATATCATGAAAATGATAAAGAGAACAGCATTAATACTGCTGCATTAATGTATTGGTTTCTAAGAAGATAATAATAAAAAAATGTATTATTAAAAAAAAACTATTTGCTGCTAAAATTATAAAAAATAATTACGTTTTTGTGTGCAGACTTTTCCTTGTTTTTACAGCTATTGCAATACCATACAGACGATCTTGGCACAGATTTCAAAGATATACATTTAAGATGAAACTAATTATCACACGAATCACAGCCGACCATTGTATCATCATTTTCTGAGCGTTTAGATTTGCAAATACAAAAAACATTATCATCATTATTTATGGTTTCTGTTAATGTAGAGGAGGGCAATTTCATTCCTGATTCAACTTCTCTTGTTACTAATTCCCTCAAAATAAATCTATTCCATAAAACATCACATTTATTAAACACCGATTCCATAAAACTAATGTCAGGTTCAATACGTAAAACTATAAACTCACTGGGTGTCCATACCATAAAATCACAATAGCTCACTCCAGTAACTCTCATTTCAAGCTGAACCTGGAAAAAATATGTGTGCTGTTTTTGTAAAAAATATTTCCCATCCGTATTTAATCCTACATAAAAGCATCTTTCAGTATTTCTTCTTTCAAAAGTTTGTCTTTTAAACTAAAAGGGCATTTGGATTCTAAAACTCCATGTCCACAACAAGTGCAATACACAGAAGCATCAGGAGATGCTGCATACCATGGTTTTTCATAGTCGATGCAAAGCCCTAATTTTTCAACTTTTAAATTTTGATGGATGACAATGTCTGAAAGTGCCAATAAGTTATGAGCTTCATTACAGTCTGAATAAAGTTGTGTATATAAAGTCAATGCATTTTTCTCATTTTCTCTTCCCCACACTATTGAAGGACTTTTTATTGTTATATTCTTTTCTGAACAAATATTTAAAATTAAAAATTTAGGTGGTGTCTCAACTCTAGCATGAAAAACTTGATACAAAGTAGAACCAGTTATTCGTCCGACTCGTACCTGATACCAAGAATCACACAAAGATTGATTTCGAGTTGCTTCTTCAACATAGACAATGTCATCAGAATTTAATTTTAAATCTTTTATTTTCTCATCAAAAAAAGAATTTAACTGTTCATTATCTAGAGATTTATAGTTTGAATTGAAAAAATTTCTGAGAGATAAAGGCAATTTTGCTACAACAGTAGATTCTAAGTGTATAAATCCAGTATCAAAATCTTTAAACAAACTTTCTTTTCAATTCTGACAAAAACTGATATTTTTCAATACTTGTTGGAGAAACAGGCATTTTCCTAGTTCTTTTTCCTGTAAGTTTCTCTTTAGCAGCACCAGAATATAAATTTATTTGAGAAACTGGGGAACCAACAATATTTTTTACAAATGGTTGATTCCATTGACATGGTAAATTAGTTGGTGTGGATGATGTCATTCCAATGCGAACAGCAGCTTCAACTTTATATAATGTTGCAGCTACATGTGAGCATGTTTCACCAAGGCTGTTAAAAACAATAAACCATAGATTTAAATAATCCAAAAACAACTTTAAATAATTTCAACAGATTTAAATAATGTACATAAAATTTAGTAGTTCATAAAACAAGATAACTTTTAGTGTTAAATTATTATAGTCAAGTGCTCTCCAGACACTTACCCGGCCATACAATTACAGTGAGCAGTCACTACATTACCAAGTGAACCAAGAGCAATCCAAGGCTTATGATTAGGGGATGTGGTTCTGTAAGAAGGTCTAACATCACATTTTAAGGTCATGATATCTTGACTTATCTTCATATGGACAACAGTTTGCACCCAACCTTCTTGAAAGAACTTCCAAGCCTCCAATGACTTGTAGTTTTCCATAGCTTCTGGAGAATAGATACCTACATAGTGTTGAATGTTTTAAATAAGTGTAAGCAAACATTAATATTCACTGAGCAAACTAACATAATTTTAGGATTTAGGAATTAAATATATAATGACTTAATAAATATATAATAACTTATAAACAACTATTTAGAAATATTTCTTACACGGAGTTTTAATCAGGTATTGATATAGATTATGATAACTTAAGGAAGGCCATTGACTTGGATCTTCAATCCAAAAATCAGCCGGATACTTATATGGACACTTGTCCAATCCTAAAACGATCAAAATGCTATGCATTATTTTAGTTTATTCTGACGAAAATTATTTAAAAAAGTAAATTAACATGAAAAATAATCACCTAAAAGACTTAATTTTCGCTGATATCTTTCTGCTGCTGCTTTTGATAAACTTTCAAAATAATTGAACGACATTATTACGAGCGCTTTTTTATCTTTGCGTTAAGGTGTAATGATTTGTTTTCCCTACATTCAATATGGTTACTTTTGTTGCGCAATAAGTCACGTTATTCCTACTAGATGGATAACTCGCCATTTCGCAGACTTAGAGGACAGTGTCGGAATAGGGGTTTGACAAGAGAGCCTACCCTTCCGTTAGGTTAGTCAAATTTATCGTTAAATTCACCGTTCCTAGCTCGACGTCACGAAATAATTAAGAGTTGTTTTGATTTCAATTCTGCCATTATGGAGGACAACTAAGTTAGCGGAACTAATATATTAATTATATATTCATAGTTTTTTCAAAAAATATAATATTTTATAAAATTTAATGTATAACCAGAATAAGAAATTATAAATCCTGATCTGATTTATTTAGTTATTATCATTTTTTTATTTTAAATTAAAGTTTAATATAGAAATATGCAAATATTGTAATAATAAAATTATAATAGGGTCAACTTTTGTGCTGTATTTGGATGTTCAAATCGTGAAAAGGGAAAATCTTTTTTTCGT